GCACCTTGTTGTCTCGGATTCTCCAACATCTGCAGTTCCTACTATCTCTGATTCAACAGTACACTCTGTCCCTCCTCCATGTCACTAATATAGTCAGGGTGTAATTGAGGCCATAGCACTGATCGCTGTGGCTCTCTACTAATTAGGTCCTTTTCAGTTTGGAAAGACATATCATTCCTAGCTCTGTCTTCACTGTTCACCAATCCTCAATCTGTGCTAATACATTAACCCCAATACTATGAGGCTTATAAACTTTGTATGTGACTTCTTTCCCGTGATATTTCTTATTTCAACCCAGATTGATTCCACATCATGATCGATTGCACCTATGTCACTGGTCTCTACCAGATTGATAATTATTTTAAATAATGGAACTGCACCCCCCAGCCCAAATTGTTTCCTTTGTGCCCATTCTTTGTGACCATTCTATCAAATGTTTGAATAATAGGTTCCCAATCTTACAACCACATCTCTGTAACAGATATCAGTTCATATTTGTTTTATTTCTGTTGGTGCTGTCAACTCATTTTATCTTGTTTTGAATGCAGCTGTGTTCAGATTTAGGCTTTAATTTCTTACTATTGTTTATCACTTCTGTTTTCTGCTGCATTCTTTTGTTTATAATTCCAGCCCCTTCCTGTCACGCTTGATTTATGCATTGCCTCTTCACTAATGTACACCTCTGCTTTGTTTTGTTATTGAAATTGTTGAACTTTCCTTCAATTGAATCATCCTCCTCTTCAGCCCCCCACCTCCAAATAGTTAGCTTAAAGCCCTATCTACAGCCCGAGTTATGATTCGTCAGGACAATTGAGGCTGCATGGATCAAATGAAGCCTACCCAACAAAACAGTGCTCTCTGTTTCCTCAGTACTGGGTCCAGTGCCCCATGAATTGGAACCCATTTCTTCTACACCAGTGTTTTGAGCCATACATGTACCACTCTAATCTTATTTACCATACACCAATTTGCATATAGCTGAAGATCGAAGGGAGGCGATGGCCTAGTGGTATTATCATTGAACTGTTAATCCAGAGACCCAGATAATGTTCTGGGGACCCAGGTTCGAATCCCACCATGAATTTGAATTCACTGAATACCTGGAATTAAGAGTCTAATGATGACCATGAATCCATTATCGATTGTCAGGAAAAACCCACCTGGTTCACTAATGTCCTTTAGGGAAGGAAACTGCCATCCATACCTGGTCTGGCCTACATGTGACTCTAGACCCACAACAATGTGGTTAACTCTTAACTGCCCTCTGGGCAATTAGGGATGGTCAATAAATGCTGGCCTAGCCAGCGACGCCCTCATCCCGTGAATGAATAAAAAAAAAAAGACCTTTTGCGGTTCTGATTAACTTAGCCCAGAGATGCTCTTTTCCAGTCCTAACTATGATATTGTAACCTAAATGGATCATGACAACAGGATCCTTTTCATGCCATTACAAGTCCCTCTAACCTATTTGGGATGTGCTGAACCTTGGTACCAGGTAGGCAACACTGCCCTGGGGGCTCACCCTACAATGCTATTGTGCTCCACCACCAACACCCCCCAACTACTACACTTAACTTTTTTCTCCCTCTCCCCCCTCTGTGTAGGTGTTGTTTTCCTATGAATTAAATGCATAATTGAAATTCTGGGGAAAAAAATGTGAAATGACCACTCAGATGAGTTGAATCTTAAAATTGAATCTAAATTCCAACAAAAAATTCCACTTGATTACAGGTGTCTGCAGTCACGAGGTAAATATAGCTGATAAAAGATCATTAACTTCTCAGAAAACAGAAAAACAATCCTACAGTTCTGTATAGGCCCATAAAACATCTAGTTTAAGGATTGATGGATAAACTGTGAAAGGATCACAGATAATGATTTGCTCCACGAAATCTCTCTTGTGTGTCACCGAGCTCATGACCTAATCAAATTAATCATTATTGTTTCATTTTCTGTGACTTTCCTCTGAAGGAAGAATTGGTCTTTTTACTGATGGAACAGTTGAAGTCATTTCCTTCTGCAAAGTTCTGGTCCACCATAATGTTAACATTTGGGAAATTGTTTTAAATATAGTATGATTTTCTATCAACTTTGAGTGTGTTTTCTCTAATTAGTGTGCTTTGCATTTTCTGCTGTGATGGGAATTTATTTGTGATCGTCTTGAGTTTGTATCACCTTTTTTGTGCTGTGCACAATGCCCCAGGTTTTGGTCAAACTGAAGTTGAATAAGTTGAAGTCTAACAGAAATTGTTGATAAAGTTCTGTTTAAGAGACTGAACTGAGGTTGATGCTTATAGAATCGAGGGGCAAATTATTAACTTGGTGAACAGATTGGCTGAGTAGCAAGAGCTAGAGAATACAAATAATGAGCAGGAACTCCAGTTGGCAGAATATTACTCGTGTAATATCCCACAGGTACAGAGGTGTTCTCAGCTATTTACTCTGATAAATAAGAGAGCTGCATGTCTGGCTTTGTTGATCAGACAAAAATGTATGGAAATATAAATTCTAAAGCTGCATTTAATTACGTGATTGAAATCAATTGTGCACACTGTGAACCATTGTTATGGACAAGGCCAGACCCCCTCAAAATATTTTAAGAAGGTAGCCTAGAGCCTAACTTTTTATTATTGTGAAAGTGAATGTAAAGTGCTGTGTTCCTGATGCAATTCAACTGGGTCAAACTATTTAGCGTTAAGCCAAACGCAATTTATTCAAACACTCTGGTTAAAATACGACAAAAGAAAGAACTTAGAATAACTTAACTCTAAGGGCAAACTTAGCTGAATAGTAGATACAACAGCTATTGCTAATTAACTATTACAATATAGTCACACCCCATAAACACATCCCTTGACAAAAAGGCGGATTCAGTAATCAGATTTTCTCACATGCAACGCCTGCAGTAGGAAGAGAACCCCAGCGAGAGAGAGGAAAGATAGCTTTTGCTACTTCAAGACTCCAACAGCTTCTGCTGAATCTAAAAGCTTTCAAAAAAAAACTAGAAATCCTGGTTTGTGAGAGCTTTCACACCCATTCAGGCTGCTTCTGTTGTTAACTCCAGTTAACATTGAACCAGTGTTTTTTGTCTCTTTTTTTTAATATAACTTCCTTGTGTTTGTGCTCTATGCCTTTTATTTATCAAGTCCAAATAAATAACTATAAATCTTAAACTTAACTGCCATGTTCAATGATTTAACTGCATTTATGTCTGGATACCTTTGCTCCCAAGCCCCTGTTAGAAATTCCCTTTTATTTTGTATTGTCTCTGTGTTCTTCCTACCCAAAATGAATCACTGCACACTTATCTGTATGCTATTCAACAGTCTGTTAGATGAATCCAAGTTAGGTAAGTTACTGTGTTTCTGATGGTTTCCTGTTAGCAAGGTTAAAACTGGCCTGTCATCTCTAGTTTTATGTTGACACATGTTTTTTGAAAAAGTGACTTTTGCAATTCTCCTGTCTTCTGGCTACACCCATGATTCTGAGAGTGGCAAGATGATGGGTCGTGCCTCTGCAATTTTCATTCTTGTGTCCCTTTTTATATCTTCAGATGCATCTTTTTTGGATTGAATGCCTTACCGTCTTTAAGTATGGACAGTCTGTCCAATATCAACCCCTTACCAATTTTTAAACTGCTAACTGTGTAAACTATGTCTTTCGTTGAAACTTACACAGCATCATCTTCCTTGGTTTAAAAAAAATACAAAATATTCCTTTTAGTCCCTCAGCCATGTTCCCTGCATATAATCCCTTTTTTTTTGTCCTTATTCAAGTCTGTTAAGTGATGATGGAGCTGTGACTGAGATTTATTTAGCATGCCTGATCCTTTCAAAATGTGCTTCCTCACTGTATGGTTCCATAGCTAAATTTCCTGTTTACATATATCTTCGATTATAACGAAGCACTGTTCCATGTTACTCTGTTGAAATGTTATTCCGTCCTCTTAAAGACTGTGTGTTTTTTAGATGTTCCTGAAGGTTAACTTCAGGATTTTGTTACAGCATACCTTTGTTTTGCTTCGCTGCTGCTTCTGACTGAGTCCAAGTTTGTATTTTCTTTCTGAAGAGAACAGCTATCAAAAGGAGAAGATGGTTTAACCTCTTCTTTATCCAGCACCAAACTGCGATTTTTAAACCTGAAACGCACCAACTCGCAGCATTCCCTCGACAGTACGTCATTTGACGGAAGCCTGACAGAAGATCGAATATCTGTGGACAGTGACAGCAGTGAGAAGTATGTTATCCTCCTCGAAGCAGGTACAGAGTTTTAATTCAGCAAATTGAGAAAGAAAAATATTATGCATTTTATTGATTTTAGCGTGACTAATGAATAGAAAGACAGTGAGACTAACTTGGAGCATTGTTGAATTAATGCTGTCAGGCCTCCCGTATCCCATGCAGGTTATCAGCGTATCTAAGAAGTATTTCTAGGCAGAAGCAGAGAAAAATATTTATAACAGCACTATTGTCACTTTGTGAACCAAATGTTTCAGACAGATGCAAAGATCCACAACAGGTGGTTAATTTTGAGTTGTCATTGTTGATGTTGTCTCCAAAGTGACACTGCAAAGGGCCTTTTAACAAGCTACACATTTGTTGACTCATGCTGTAGATTAGGCTATGTGAAGTAGGGACAAGTAACTGAATGGATGGCAAATCAGCAATAATACCTGGACTTCAGAGATTAAATTTGAGGAGAGATTATACAAATTGTGCCAGTTTTCACTGGAATTTAGAAGTTTAAGGAGTGATGTGATCAAAGTCTTCAAGGTGTGAACAGGAAAAGATAGATAAGATAAAGATAAACTATTTCCACCAGTTTGCGATTCTTGAACGAGGACGCCTAAAAATTAAGGCTAGTCTGTCCAGGAGAGATGTTATGTAGAACATGGAGCAGTACGGCACAGGAGCAAGCCCTTGGGGCCCACCGTGCCTGTACCGACTGATGTTAGGAAGCACTTTTAGTCACAGAGGGTAGTGGAGGTTTTGGAACTCTCTTCTATAAATAGCAGTTGATGGTAGATCAGTTCTTAGTTTTAAATCTGAGGTAAATACATTTTTGTAAAGCAGCGATATTAAGGGATATGCGCTAAAGTGGGACTATGGAATTAGGCCATAGACTAGCCATGATCTCATGGAATAGCAGAACAGGCTCAGAGGTGCGTGGCCTATTCTTGTTCCTATGTTCAAATGAACTGGAAAAAATGGAATGTACAGGATCAGGGCAAAGGTTAATAATTCAGATGAGAGGGGTATTGAAATTGGTGTCCCATATGGATTAATAATGGGACCCATTGTGAGTTTTTAAATTAACAGTTTGGCCTTGGAATCAAGTTACTCATGATCAGAATTTGTTGGTTGTACCAAACTGGGGATACAACTAATATAGGAAGATGTAACATAATATATGAAAACTATAGAAAGCTTCCAGACAGTAATCCAATGATTGATAAACCACTACTTAGATGAGCAAGTGGTGCACTTGGGGAGAAAAAATGGAAACAGCATCATTGTTCTAAAATATTAAACTGAATCGAATAGACGAGAGGAATCTGGGATATAGCTGAACAAATCATTATGATCGGCCTTGCAAATGAACAAAGCAATTCAACTGATAACGAAGCGCTGGTGTTTATTTCTGGGGGTATAAAGTGCAGAAATGTGAAATGATGCTGAAGTTGATCAGAGCTCGGTCAGACTGCACATGATCCTGGTAATCTGAAGCATTGGGAAAAATAGAAGAAAGGTTGACTGGGATGGTACCGAGACAGATAACAGTATCAGCAAAGATTGAACCGGGTAGTGCTACTTTCTTCAGAGACAAGAAAAGAGATGCAAGAACATGGTACCTTGAGCTTGGACTTCCTGTCAATCATATCATAACTGAATCATAGAATCTCTACACCTGTAGAAAGAGGCCAATTGGCCCATCGAGTCTGCACTGACCATCCAAACAGCATCCCACCCAGACCGAGCCTCCTATCCTATCCCATTAACCCTGCATTTACTGTGGCTAATCTACCTAGCTTGTATGTCGCTGGACACTGCGGACAATTTGGGATGGCCAGTTCACTTAACCTGCACACCTTTGGACTGTGTGAGGAAATCAGAGCGCCCAGCAGAAACCCACGCAGACACTGGAAGAATGTGCAAACTCCACACAGTCACCTAAGGCTGGAATTGAACCCAGGTTCCTGGTGCTGAGGCAGCAGTGCTAACTAGTGAGCCGTTCAATTTATACACCAACTCTTTTCTGCCATCCTATTATAAATAACCCTCGATTCATGGAATGTGCACATCACTGGCAAGGCCAATATACTTGCTCCATCCGAGCGTCCACTGCACAATTTCCAGATAAAGGGTCAGCTACTGAGGACTTAAAAGTCCAGAGAAACAGCAAAGCTGCATTGTCTTGACAAGGCTTCTGACTTTTGTACTTTGCAAATAGACCACTTCTAATTCACCTATACTCAAAAGAATATAGGACCGTTCTTAGTGTTTGCTGATTGGGTAGACCCCTCATTCCAGGAATCTATTCAAACATGTGTTGCACACCCTCTAAAACAACGGGAAGGAGACTGAAACGGTACATAGCATTCCAGGTGTGGTCTCAGGAAAACAACATGTAACTGCAACAAGTTTTTGTTACTTTTGCACTTAAGGCTATGACACTTTGTTATCTTAATTGGTTGCTTTACTCATCTGTTTAATCTGTAGGATTTTTGGCAACTTTTGACAACATTTACTTGTCTACCTCGTTTATACCCTGATTCCACTCTTCATAGCAAAGTGGATAATTTCACATTCTCTCCTAAACTTGATCTGTCACTTCGTTGCCAATCACTGATCAAATAGGTCGATGAACTGACAAATGACAGATGGCGTTCAATCTGGATAAATGCAAGGTATTGCGTATTGGTACAACAAACAAAGATAGAGCTTATACAATTAATGGTAGGGCCTTAGGTCGTGTTGTAGAACAGACAGACCTAGGAGTGCAAATACATAATTCTTTGAAGTTTGTGTCACACGTACACATAGTGGTAAAAAAGGTGTTTGGCACACTTGCCTTCATTGTGCAGTCCCTTGAGTATAGGAGTTGGAAGTCATGTTGAGGTTGTACAGGACATTAGTGAGACCACTTCTGGAATACCATGTACAGTTTTGTTCGTCCAGCTATAGGAAGGATTTTATTAAGCTGGAGGGGATTCAGAAGAGATTTACCAGGATATTGCCGGGTATGGAAGGTTTGAATTATAAAGAAAAGCTGGATAGGTTATGACTTTTTCCACCAGAGCATAGGAGGTTGAGGGGTGACCTTATAGAAGTTTATAAAATAATGAGGGGTATAGGTAAAGTTAATGGTAGTTTTTTTTTCTTAGGATGGGGTATTTCAAGTCTAGAGGGTACATTTTAAAGGTAAGTGTGGAGAGATTTTAAAAAAGACTTGAGAGGCAATTTCTTTTACACAGAGGGTGGTTCACATGTGGAGTGAATTTCCTGAGGAAGTGGTGGATGTGGGTACAAGTACAGCATTTAAAAGACATTTGGATAAATACTTGAATACGAAAGGTTTGGAGGGAAATGGGCCAGGGGCAGGCAGGTGGGACTAGTTTAGTTTGGGAGTATGTTCAGCATGGACTGGTTGGACCGAACGGTCTGTTTCCATGCTGTGTGACTCTGACTCTAGGACTTAAATCATTGAATTGGTCGATATCACTCCGCTGTATGTGTCCTTCTCCCACCTTTGGATCGTCTGCACACTTGGATGCAGTACAATCATTGCTTTAATTCAGTCATGAGTTAAAATTGTCATTATCACAGCAACACATTGATCCTTGTAGCACTCCATGAGTCACACACTCACATTTGAAACACTTACTTTCAGTCCATTAGCCAATCTTCAATCTATTTTAATTTTTTTTTCTAGTCCCATGAAGCCTAATCTTGTGCAATGACATTTTATGTGGCACTGCCTCAAATGCTTTTTAAAAGTATTTACCAATGAATCCAATAGGGAAATGAAAATCAATTTTTAGTTAATGGTTGGAAAGTGGTGCCACAAGAAAATGTGGAAGCAAATAACTTGGATAATTTCAAAGGGAAACAGAACAATGACTTGAGAAAAAAGCAAGACTGAGATATGGGAAATGGAATAGGAGGAGATTTGGACTCGTGCCGGCTATTTGAGCCTAAACACCTCTTGTTGTGATTTGCTATTATTTGTACATGGATTAAATAATCCCAATTCAGACACTGGTTATAGTGGTAGATTTTATTTCTGTCAAAGTTAATCAAAATTTCCAAGGAGATTTCAGTGTACAAGCTTTGCTTAAACATTACTGATGGTCCATTTTAGTCTCTGTGGCCTACCTCTCAGTTAATTATCATGCCAGATATACAACCTCAGTCAGCTCTTCATAGCTAGCCAAGTATTCAGTGCCAGTGTCTGAGTTGAGGAAGTAAATCTCAGCAGGTCTTCAAGCTGGCATTGCACAAAGACTGATGTTTTTGTTCATTTCAATGAGCATTTATGAATATGAATCATTGGTATTAGAATTGGGAATGTGGTTGTTTTTACAATACAAAGCACTTTTTGAATCATTTGTCCATTCTGTGTAGGTTAGTTATGATGTCCTCAGGTGCTACCAGTGCTGAATTACGCTGATTGAGCATAGGCCATTTTTGCAACCTGGCACCTTTTATGAGTCTCCTGACAGTATGTTTGTCCACTGACATTACATCATCATTCTTTATTGCCATGATCTTTGAGTATAAGTGAACGATTGTTTAGGATATCAAAACTTGAGTAACTATATTGGGTCTAAAAATCCCAACCTGCTTACCATTCATTCAACTAAATTATTACTGTGTGATAAAACTTTTTTTTAAATGTAGACTTACAATAGGATTGCTGACTCCTTCACGTTGGCTCCCTGGCTGCCAAAAACCTTAAAAGTCTGGATAACAGGTATAGCTTATCCAAATTGTTTAGAAGGAGTTTTGTTATACCATTTTAAAGAAAAATCTCTGCTTCATTTTAGAGAGCTTTGAAACTTTGCAGATGGTCCAAAGAGTTAATTGTAAGTCATCAGTCTATCAAATTGAAAGGATGGTCGTACCCTTCTGGCTGAGGTTCACTAATCTGCATTGGACCTTTGAAACATTGGTTTCATGAAAGAACAAAACTTTTGAAACTAAGATATTATGCATTACATCTTAGTAATGATTTGCACTGTTTATTTGCATTGGAAGTTAGAGTAATAGGTTAAATAACAATGCTTTGATTGCACTGTCATATTTATTTGTGGACTTCTAATGTTTTTAGAATCTGGACAGGAATCTCTTCCCCAAGATACCTGCATTGATAGGGCAGGTGGAATGGGCAGCAGTCAGAGTCTACCAGAGTTTGTAGATGGAGGACATGGAGCACAAGGCTTTCATAAACCTTCCGCAATGACAAATTCATCAACTCAAAGTGAGGATGATTCTAATGCTGAACAGGTGTGGGTTTACTTATTTCAATGCAAATTTTTAAATTTTGTTCTTTGTAGCCTAAATAATGCATTTAAGTTCTCTGAGTTGAAAATATTGAACATTTGGTAAAACTTAAGAGAAACAACAGAAACATGCAATGAATTGGATATTTTTTTAACAGGCTAAGTGGCCACCAATTGTATTGTATAATTCTATTCCTATACTACCACTGTGACAGAATATTTAGCCACCTTGGACGATGGAATGAATATAGAATTTCTTAATGCATGGCTCAAGATTTTCATGTATATTTTTACAAGTGTCACTTTCTTTCATTGCTGATTTCCCCAGGCTTCTGTGTTGTTGCTGAAGATATTTGACTTAAATTGTGGAATTGATATAAGAGGTGATGATCTTTTCGTTGGTGTTGAAGCGAAAGAAGTGATTCCTGATCAGTTGGGCAACTTGGGAGTGCAGCAGTTTCTGAGCAGCCGTACAACGGGTGAGAGGCACGAAGCAGAATTGTTAATAAATCAGTTAGTGGTAGTTATTGTAACACTCTCTTCTCGTAATTTTGTTGGAATTCTTTCAGTTGTTATTATATTATCCATAGACTAAATCAGAAGGAAAAAATGACAGGGCTTTACTGAAAGATCCATTGTTCATCTCGATTTTCCAAGCTATTCATCATTGTAGTTAGAAGGAAAAACCTCCATTCCCAGCTTGGAAGGCCACTGGTCATTCTTGTGCGTTTGCTGTTTGAATTGAAGTGATCAATTTGATTCTCAAACCTTCTGCAGAGTGAAATATCTTCACAAAGAAACTTTATATCTTCAACTACTTCATCAATAACCTTCCTGCTATCTTTGTCAGAAGTGGGGATGTTCACTGTGCAACTTTCATGATGACTCAAACTGAAACAGTCTGTATCCTAATGCAGCAAGACCTGGATAGTATCCAGATTTAGACGGGTAACTGGCAAGTGATGTGTACACCACACAAATGCCTGGCATTGACCATCTTTAATAAGAGAATCTAGCGATCTCTTTCCTGGCATAACCGTGATTGCACCTGATATATAAATTTCTAAAATAAAATCCTTAATAATTTGTTTACTTGGCACTTCATCATTATAATTCTCTGCTAAAAGCAAGTCCACATCCTGTAAAGTGACAGTAAACATTTGCTCACTTGGTACAATTTTTGGTAAATTTGTAATGTATTCAGATAAAACTGTTGGCTACAGAGAATATTTCACATTTAGTCTCTAAATTGCTCATTTTATACCAAGGGCTCGCAGGAATAGAGAAAGATCTTGACGCTGAAAATGCCTAGTCCCCAATGCAAAACAACATAAGGTTAAGTTTTTAATTTCCTTTTATTTTGATTACATTACTTCACACAATCCAATTCATTGATTTATTTTAGGATTTCAGCATGTGGCTAAAAAACATTCATGTCAAATTTGAAATTTATTTTGATTTTAAGTTTACTGTGGAATTACTTTTGAATGTTCATTAAATTATGTACACAAATGAGGGGGGGATTTTTTTCAGTAGCATGTTCACCCTGAATGTGATTATCTCTTGTGTATCTATTGCAGTTGTTCTCAGATGAATTAGTTACTGGGACTAAATATGATTTTAATGTCAACTTCAGTGATTTAAAGTCTGTGACGAGCTCCACATTTGATTAAAAAATAATGGGATATCTTTTTATGTTATAAGCAGGACAAACTTTCTAGGAGATCTTATGACGCATGTTCAGGATCTTAGCCAGAGCTAGTGTCTTAGGAGACATGGAGAGTTCTTTATAGTTTGTGTGTGTGCAGTTTTAATTAATCAGTAGTGTCAAGTCCTGCAATTATCGTACTTCTTACTATTATCAGTTTTTAAGCCGAGGATTCTGTGCAGCCTTTCCATACAGAAAACCAGTTATTCCCTTTCTCTTTGCTCTATCCTGGTAGCTGGGTAAGTTTGTCTTCAAATGGTCATCTGATTTCCTTTTTAACGTCATCGATCTACGCTGCTATCAGCGTTCTAGGTCATTGCATCATGTACAATGATGGTCAGATTACTTAAGCCTCATTAAACATATCTCATCAATTTAATTCATTTCTGAAGCATTCATTTTTACAGAGAGATTTTTCAAAATTTTTTAAACTGTTGATGTTCAGGTTTTCAGAAAGCCTGCTCTCTGGAGTCAAAGAGAAACCAACCTGCTGTGTGCTTGAGATTCGAGTCTGGACCACACTTGTCGGTTCACTCTCCACTTGCCGTCAAGAATGGATTTTTGCAATTCCATATCAATAATTACAACACAGAGCTGCTGATGTCATCTCTCACAAACCTGGGCCCTTTCTTGGAGGATGAGATCATTCCAGCTGTGATTCCAATGAAGATAGAACTTTTCAACTGCAGAATAACTCTGAAGGTATAAGACAGTTATCAATGAAATGATTTCTGTTATTTGAAAGGGAGACAGAATGATTGCTACGTGACATTGTAGGACAGGAATGGAATTCTATAATTAAAATTTCAATAGAAAACGTCCAGAAAGTGGAAGTATTGAGTGTAATCAGCACAGATTGCAGGAAAAAAGGTTATGCTTAGCCAACCATTTTGAATGCTTCTGACAAAGTAACCAGGTGTAATATAATTTAGCCAATATCTTTGGGTTTTGAAGAGCCCTCTTTAAGGTACTTCCAAAGAAGACCCATAACTACAAATCAGACATGTGAGTCAATGGACAAATAGCAAATTGGTTAAAATACAGAAAAGACAGTACGGGTTAAAGGTTGTTACTCAAATGGCAATCAGTTGAAGTGATGTTTACAGGGATCTGTATGAGAACCACTGTTGCTCACCATTTACATAAAGAATTTAAACTCTCGGACCCACAAAGTACAATTTTACAGATGACATCAAATTGGGAGTTTTTTTGAGACTGATAAAATGGAGCAAGATGTTAAACTTGATCAGTGAATATATTTGTCAAATGACTTAAATACAGCCAAGTGTGGAGAGTAGAGGAAAAATAAGGAGGTCACACAGACCTTGGAAATATGTGTCTAAATTAATTACAGTAAATAGACCTCAAGGACACAGATACAGAAATCAAAGTTGTGATTCAAGATTAATAACTCCTGCTTAAACAAAAGGTCTCAATTTCCAGAGGGAGAAGAGTTGAAAAGTAGAGAAGTTATTTTAAGCTTTTATCAAACCTTCATTTAGACCACATCAAATATGGTGAAAACTTTAGCCTACATATTATGAAAAAAGTATTGAAGAAAGTGCAAAGAAGATTTATTAGGTTAACACCAGAACTGAGAATACCCATCAGCAAAAATTGAACTGCTTCGAACTCATCTAGATTGTGGAAGAGTTAGATGTTTCCAATTGTTGATGACTTCCAAGCTGGGAGAATAGATATTGTGGTCACCAATTAAATTCAATAGAGACAATTCAACAAAAGTTTCTTCACCCAGACTTTGGTTAGATTGTAGGGCACTGGATGTATTGGAGTAGTTGAGGTGATTAGGTAAAGATGTGTTTTAAGGATAGATGAGGTAAATCCATGCAGAAGAAAGGAATGGAATTCTCAGTTGATGGAGTTACATGGAGGGATTGGGGAAGGCTCACATGAAACATAAACATTAGGTTTGAATGTCCTTTTTACTCAGTGGATTACTAATCCAATGAGGAAACGTACAAAATTGAAGAAAGTCAACAGAAAAAAACAACCAGCAAAGTGATTCAGTTAGTTATTATGCTGGAGAGCAGTTCATGTTTGTCTGAGTACGTGGAGAACATGCAGCTTGAGAATTAATGTATCTACACCCTGCTGATCTGCATTCCCCACCCCAGCATAAATTGTAGCAACTCTTGGTACTATTTTTCAATCTGTTGTTCTGTAAATTTAAACCGATGAGAATTATTAGAATATGAAATGTTTATTTGCATTAAATTCTTGTTATGTAAAGGATGATGGCCCACGATTATATGCTACATCTCCTGGTCCTGTACCTGTGCATCTTGATGTTGATCACCTTATGGTTCAGCGGATTGATGACGGGACTTTTTGTATAAGGGGTAAGTTGTTGACTTTTTGAATATAATCTGTGTGCATGAGATCTCTACATCTTCATTCCAATTATCTGTGCTTGAATTAGTTACGAGAATGTCCAATTGATTTGGACTTGGTTTGTTCTCAGACATGCATTTAAGTAGCAACGTTAATTTAGAAAAAGGCAGATGTATGAGCTGCCACTGGTAGGAGATGCCATGATGGATTTTAATCACGAAGCAGAGAAATTTAATATTGGGATATTAGGAGTTTGAACATTCTGCCTGTGCATGCGCAGGTTTGCTCTGGGTGCTCTGGTTTCCTCCCACAGTTCAAAGGTGTGCAGGTTAGGTGGACTGGCCATACTAAATTGCCCATAGTGTCCAGGGATGTATTGGCTAGGTGGGTTAGCCATGGGAAATACGGAGCAGAACACCAACTCTTCAATTAGAGGTCCTTCTGATGATGTTGCCCAGAATGATAACGAAACGTCTGCACGCCACAGAACAACCGGCTCGATGAGCTACTGAACAACTACAGACCAAACGGCCTGCTTCCACATTA